CCAAGGATCTTCTTCGCTGGACCCAAGTCCTTCATGTCAAACTCCTTTGACAGCTGCTGCTTCAAACTCTTGATATCCTCCATATCTGCTCCTGCAACCAACATATCATCAACATACAGCAGTAGGATGATATAGCTGGACTGATATCTTTTGAAGTAGCAACAGTGGTCGGCGTTGCACTTCTGGAAACCTTCCTTGTGCATGAAGCCGTCAAACTTCTTGTACCACTGTCTTGGGGCTTGTTTCAGGCCATACAAGCTCTTCTTGAGTCTGCACACCAGGTTCTTTTTCTTCTTTTCTTCTGAGAAACCTTCTGGCTGGTGCATGTATATCTCCTCTTCTAGATCTCCGTGAAGAAACGCCGTCTTCACGTCTAACTGCTCGAGATGAAGATCTTCAATTGCTACAATACTCATCACGGTCCTGATAGTATTTAGCTTCACCACGGGAGCGAAAATATCGGTGTAGTCAATTCCTTCCTTCTGCTGGAAACCTTTGACAACTAGCCGGGCTTTATATCTTCTGGAACCATCCTGCTCCTCTTTCACCCGGTACACCCATTTGTTGTGGAGTGCCTTCTTACCCGTGGGCAACTCAGCTAGTTCCCACGTCTGGTTTGATATGAGAGACTTCATCTCATCTTTCATTGCAAGCTCCCACTTGCTCGCATCTCCACACTGACAAGCTTCATCAAAGCTTTCAGGCTCCCCACCATCTGTCAACAACAGATAGTTCATGTATCTCCTGTTGGGTACAGGAGGACGAGAAGATCTTCTTAATATCGGAGCTGGTGCGTCGGGCTCCTGCGCACCATCTTGTCCAACAGGCTCTTCTTGCTGAGGACCCTCTGCATTGGGTTCTTCCGAGAGGTTACTCGGGACATCATCTGCATCTACAAATATTGACTCGCTCTCTGAGTCATCTGTCTTGTGCATGTCCTTGTACATCACCTTCTCGTTGAATATCACATCTCTGCTCCGGATCACCTTCTTGTTTTCGTTGTCCCAAATGCGGTAGCCGAACTCATCTTCACCATAGCCGATGAAAGTGCATTTCTTTGACTTGGGATCAAGCTTATTCCTGCCTTGATCACTAATATGCACGTAAGCTACACAACCGAAAACTTTTAGATGTGAGAGTTTTACCTCCTTTCCGCACCATACCTCCTCTGGTATTCTGTGCTCCAATGGAACCGATGGACCTCGGTTGATCAAGTAAGCTGCTGTGTTGACCGCTTCTGCCCAGAACTGCTTCGGTAGGCCTGATTGTACTCGAATGCTTCTGGCTCTCTCTGTCAACGTTCGGTTCATCCGCTCAGCTACACCATTTTGCTGAGGCGTGCCGGGCACGGTTCTCTCCATTCTGATCCCGTGCTCATAGCAGAACTTCTTGAATCCGGTGTCTTCATACTCACCGCCATTGTCGGTCCTGAGCTTCTTTATTCTCAGACCGGTCTCATTCTCGACCATAGCTTTCCATCTCCTGAAAGCTTCAAATACTTCTGACTTATGCTTCAGAAAGTAGACCCATACTTTCCGAGAGTGATCATCGATAAAAGTCACGAAGTAGTGTTTCCCACCAATCGACGCAGTGGTGGTTGGTCCCCAAACATCTGAGTGAACGGGCTCTAGCTTCTGCTTCCTGGGGGTTCTGCCACTTGTCTGAAAGCTGACTCTCTTCTGCTTTCCAAGTATACATTCTTCACACATATCCATCTCCACTGACTGCAGTCCTGGGAGTTTTCCCTTTGTGTGCATGATTTTCATCCCCTTTTCACTCATATGACCGAGTCTCTGGTGCCACAGCTTTGAAGTCTCATTGCTTGCTGCAACTGAGATCGAACAACGTGCACCTGCTGTCATATATAGGGTACCAGTCTTCCTGCCTCGGGCAATCGTCATTGTGCCCTTTGAGATCTTCCAATCATCTCCATGGAAGGTTGTGGTGTATCCTTCGCCAGCCAACTGGCCTACGGATATTAAATTCTTTCTCAGGTCGGGAATATGCCTGACATCCTTCAGCTCCCATACTGACCCGTTCAACTTAATTTTCACCACGCCTTTGCCCACTATAGCACACGGTTGATCATCACCAAGATATACGTATCCAAGTTTTCCGGGGGTATACTTCTCGAAGAATTCTTTCTGAGAAGTAGCGTGGAACGACGCTCCTGAATCTAACACCCAAGATTCCTCCTTGCTCTCCAAAGAGCATATCAATGCGTCGTCTCCTCCTGAAGTGGAGGTGACATTCACCTCTGCCTTCGCTTCCTTCTCCTTCTGTGCGCTCTTGCACTGATTCTTGTAATGCCCGGTCTTTCCACAATTCCAACACTCGATAGCCTTCGAGCTGTTGCTTGGATTCCTTGATTTGGACCTCCTGTCCTTTGATCTACCTCTGTAGTTTGATTTTCCTCGTCCGTTTCCTCTGGTTGAATTTCTACCTCTTGACTCTGTATGCAATACTGAAGAGGTTGTAGCTTCACCCGTTTCTCTCCGTCGGATCTCCTCACTGAGAACCAAATCACGAACGTCGTCGAACTTCAACTTACTGTTTCCCGACGAGCTACTCACAGCTGTGACTGTAGCGTTCCAACTCTCTGGTAGGGAAGACAACAATATCAACGCCCGAACTTCTTCATCAAACTCAATCTCAACTGAACTCAATTGGGTTGTGACCGTGTTGAGTTCATTGAGGTGTTGTGCTACTGACGCGCCTTCCGCCATTTTCAGATTGAATAACCGCCGCATCAAATGAACTTTGTTCGCGGCTGATGGCTTCTCATACATGTTTGAGAGTGCTGCCATAAGACCTGCCGTGGTCTTCTCCTTCGCTATGTTGAACGCAACATTATGAGTCAACGTCAATCTGATAACTCCGAGGGCTTGTCTATCTAGAAGGTTCCACTCATCTGCCTTCATGGAATCTGGCTTCTTCCCCGATAGTGGTTGATACAGATTTTTCTGATACAGATAATCCTCTATCTGCATTTTCCAGAATCCGAAATCTGTTCCATCAAATTTCTCAAGTCTCATTTTTGCCTCATCTGTGGCCATGGCTCCCACTTGAATCTGACTTGTTCTAGATCGTTTCACTCTCTGATACCAGTTGTTAGGAATTTAACGCCTAAACCCCTAATTGCAATGGAAACGCAGTATAGAAAAGTACACCAAGATTTAACGAGGTTCGGCAACTGCCTACGTCCTCGGGAGCCACACAGATAATTTCTTATTAATTAAACAAGAAATTACAATTTAGGAGCGTATCTCAAAACTGAGATTTCTCTGATAAACACTGTAGCTACAGTGTTAATAATCAAAGGGTATGAACCCTTTCAATTCTCACTTGAGAATAAATGAATAACCCACAATAAAAAAACCCTTCTTTAATTTTCTCTCTCTCTCTTCTTAAATCCCCTCAACTACTGTTGAAGATTGGGATTAAAATCGCTGCTGCGATTTGGGGTTCTGCTATTTGGGTTTTCCGCCGCCGCCAGGGAGAGAAACGAAAGAGGGAGAAGAAGCTTCAGCCGCGCCGAAGAAACCCTAGGCTGGAAGGGGGTTTTATAGGGAGAGTTGATGGGCTGGCGACAGCCTGTCGCCAGCGACCGCTTGGACGCCAATGTCGAGGCCGAACGCAGAGGTCGAACGAAGAACGCTGAGGTCGACGAACGCAGAGTCGAGCTCGAACGCAGAGCTCGGGGGGGCGCTGCCGAAGATCGCCTGGACCTCGCCTGTGGCTTCGCCTCGTCGACATCGAGCTCGTCGGAGCTCCTCGCCGGTGCAGAGGTTGGTATCCACCCCCCAAATTAACAAACAAATACTTTAGTTGCACCAGAGAATAGTTTTGAGAAACTTTTCCTCATAAATAAAGACCAAAAAAAAAAAAACTAGATGTTCTCTAGTACCTAACTGAGATATATTCGGTCGACTCCAGATATTTATCCATTGCAACTAATAAATACAATTATAGCAGCAACCATAAAAGAATCTTCGTTCTCATCAACGATCTACGTCGCGGTTGAAATCTTTTTGAGCTGCGAGTGAGATTTATATCGCAACTCCAATTCCAGCCACCTCTAAACAAACATAGTAAAATAAAAAATATACTTGTAAAATCTTAAGACCGAATTAAATAATTGTAACCAATGTTGTATAAAATAGCAGCAGCTACGTGCATCAGGATACTTATTAACATTGTAATTTTACGTTTGTAAAACTCCCACCGTATTTTTACGCGGTGACCGCGGAGAAGCTGACGGCGGTAGCATTGAGCATCAGATGCACAGATGGCAAGGTTTGGTGCAACCACTCGAGGGGGCAATCAACAGCTCGCCTACCCCACCCCACCAATGACTATCTCAATCGATCACCTGTACGAAAATGAGCCAGACATTTTTTTTTCACTCACACCTTGAAAACTTCTGTTGTGCATTCTTCACGCATAAAGAAACCACACAATTGGTACAATTGGTTCTTGCAGATTAATTAGGAAAAAAGCCATGTGTCTCTTCATATTTGTTTCTACTTTGCTGTAAAATTCATTCGTTTCTACTTTGCATTCGAGAAGATGAATCGTAATCATCCATTAATTAAACAGTCAATGGTTGGATTGAAAGTACTGATCTCTTCATATTTGTGTTAATTCAAGTCATACGCTTTTGTTTTTATGAGAAATTGTTTGAACAAATGAATTGTTTTGCGCTCACATCCAGACACATAGATTTGACTTGGAAAAAGAAATCATCAATGTAATAAATAACCTTGCACTTACTAAAGGACTATGATTATTAATGTCATGTTATTTGATTTAAAGCTAATTAAATTCCATATAATTACAGGATGATTGTGTGAAAATAGTTTTAAAAAAAAGCACAAAAATGGGAAAGCTTTTTCGAATAAGCAAAGTTGCAAGGGCTTCAATGAAAAATTAGAGGGAAAGAAAAGTCCAAAACCCGCTCAACTTTACTTCAACACCACTCTCTCTCTCTCTCTCTTCTTTAATCCTGCTCCGTTCCCAAAAACAGAACAGAGTTAATTTCTTAAAACGCGAACTCCTCATTTTTACTTCTTCCATTTTTTTTAAACTCCAAGATCAGCTTTTTTAGGGTCTCTTAAAAGAAAAAAAAAAACAAAGAAAGAAGGGGAAGAGATGCAGCAATGGCGGCCAGAGAACGCGGCGATGACCTTCGACGAGGTCTCAATGGAGAGAAGCAAGAGCTTCATCAAGGCCCTTCAGGTATCGGAACCCAGATCTCGACTCACTGTTGCAGATCTGGGCTTGTCTCTTTAGATCTTTGTCTATTTTGCGCGATCTTGATCAAGATGACAGGCGTTAAGCTGTTTTTTTTCTTCTTCAAATTTTTGATCTAGTACTACTTCTCTTCAGTTGGTAAGTTGCCAAAAAAGGAATTTGGGCGATGCTCAGATAGATGCAAGGAAATCTCTAGAAAACTGTATTAATTGTGGTTCTGGGAGATTGGATCCTTAATATAGTAACATTTTGAGTTGAAAAGGATTTACATTTGTTGGAAGATGATCGGATTTTGTAACGGAAATTCTGGATAATTTGGAAAGTTCAGTTCTTTTTAAGGCGAAACTTTTTTTCCTTTACTGTTTTATAGAGTGTCCTGTAATTGAATGTACTGTTCTTTGAATGATGTGCACAGGAGCTGAAGAACCTGAGGCCTCAGCTTTACTCTGCGGCAGACTACTGTGAGAAGTCATATCTTCACAATGAACAGAAGCAGATGTAAGATTTCTTTACGGGTATCACTAAATTCATTAATATTGAACCACTATTCAAACATTTATCCATGCTTCTTTGCTGCGAAAGAAGCATTCTGTCTAGGAAAATAGAGTTGTTGTTGCCAGTTCATTAATCCTTTTATAGATGATAGCTTTTCTCGCACTTTATGGGAAAAGAGTATCTACTTATTTGATCGCATCAAACATCTTTTTTTTCTTCTTCTTTTTTGCTACATGCATTTTATTGGTTGCGCCAAATATTTGAATCTCTGCCTGGTCATTATTTGAATTAAGGATTCTACAAGCACCTATCAGGACATAGAGGGCAAGTGTAATGCATGTCAAACATGTAATCTTCCATGTATGTGTATTTCTGATTTATACTCTTGTGAGTGTTCTTCTTATACTGGCATTTCTCATACCCTCTATGACATTTTTATTCTTATTAATGCAATATACACCACATCAACATTTGCATCACCTTTTTCCACAGCAATGACATCTTAAGGCGTAACTTATAAGCTAACATCGAGGCACTGATCAAAGGATATAATTTATTATTTTCAAAAGAAAGACCATTTTGAAAATTGTTGGATGTATACAACTGTTAATAATACATATCGTTGTGTATTAATGGCTTGCGATTTATTTGAAAGAAGATCATCTAGTTCGTGAGACTGTATTATTTGTAGGATAATAGGATTATCTTGATTGCACCATAATACCATATAGGTTTTTGATTTTTGGGAGTCACGATGTGATTGCTAGGCTAAATCAATTATTTATGTCACAATCAACAGTCTTCTTTTCAATGATGAACACTAGTTTCAGATGTTTGCAATAAGCTATGGGAAAAGTTTGTGCTTGTGCCTGGATGCTACTCGTAAAAGTACTAAGAAAATTGCAATAGCTAGTGAAACAGTACAGTTGTTGAGAAACTTTATGTTCTTTATCTTCTGCTATTGTTTATTTGGGTCTTTTTTTGTGGAAACCACCTTAAAAATAGGGTAATTATACAGAAACCAGCTTTGAATGTCAATTTACACAAATACCACCTTTAAAGTGGGTTTATGTTGCAACCAACCACCTCCCAATCAAAATTTTCACTAAAAACCAAAAAATACTCTTAAAACCTATCATTCAAGGTACACTACTCATTTTGAATGTTTACATCTGGTTAGGATACAAGTTACGTACATTGAACAGGAATTTTTAGGGTTATTTTTTTTCTAGCGAAAAAGTGACTTCGAGGTTGTTGATTGCACCGCAAACGCATTTTAAAGGCGGTTTTTGTATAATTGACATTCAAAGGTGGTTTTGTATAATTATCCTATTTTTAAGATGGTTTCTAGAAGGTTAAAAAAACTCTATTTCTAATCCTCTTTTTTAGCTCCTGATCATGATCTCATGCAAAAACAATTTTTTTTTCCCTGCTCACAATTTATACTTCTATGAGAATTAAAATTGAGCATATGATCTAATGATTGATATATGTACATTTTACTTTTTGGGAATATTAGGGCATTCATTATCATTATTTGTTTTTTTCAGACTGTGTATGATATTTTTTGTGTCTGATATGGCATTTTATCTTATATAATTGTTATACGGTACATAGATACTTCATTGCCTGTAAACTTGCGCTTTTTTGCTTCACTGTTGTAAAAGCTAAGGTATAATTATCAGGGTACTGGATAATTTAAAAGACTATGCCGTCCGTGCACTCGTCAATGCTGTTGACCACCTCGGTACTGTTGCTTATAAATTGACAGACCTCTTTGAACAACAGACAATGGATATCTCCTCTGTGGAGCTTAAGATTTCTTGTCTGAATCAGGTATATTAATTGCTTTGCATGCAACTTCAAATAGGCGGGAACTGATTTTGCTATTGTACATGCAGCGTGTTCTTACGTGCCAAACTTACGTGGACAAAGAAGGTTTAAGGCAACAGCAGATATCGGTTACAGCTCCAAGACACCACAAGCATTACATTCTACCAAGTATGACTAAAGATCTGGTATTATCCTGCTTTTGGTAATGATTTAATCTAACTATTGTATTTGAATTGTCAAGCTAGATTCTGTCAATCAAAAGGGAGCCAGAAATCAATTGTCACAAGCACAAGCAAAACCTCGTCCTCATTCTACAGGTTCCTCATTTTTGTGTGAAACATATTAAATTCCTTCTTTCATCTTTAATTATGTTAATATTATGCATATACTTATTGCTAGAAATCCTTCTCATTAATAAATTTAGGTACTCCTGCATCAAAAACACTTTCGTGGCATCTTGCCTCAGAAGCCAATCCTGCAACAGGTGAAGCTTCCAATGCAACTAAAAGGCAAGCACTTGGTCATCAATTTTAATTTTCTGCCCTATTCCTCCTGATTTTGTGTCATTTTTTGGAATTGATCTAAGAAGTTGCATTCTTTTTCCAGCAGTGGAAACTCCAGAGATTTTAAATTAACTCCCGAGTTTCATCTGCTAGGTACATCAAAAGCTCCCCTAATTGATAGATTTGTTTTTTCGTTTATCTCCCTAGTTTTACCCAATTTATCTAATTTTTTCACGGAACATACTCTGGATCAAATAAAGTGAAGAAAAAATTTCCCTTCCAATTTATTAAACAAATGCAGGTCCGAAAGAGACTGCATCATCACTGTCGTCCACTCATCTTCGGTCAAGCAGCGGGGCTTCCGGCCTGCAACCTTTTATGATGAAAGTAAGTGTGAAAGTAAGATCTATATTAGTTTGCATGTAATACTTTCTACTAGCCCTAAACCCTGAAGAAGTCCCTTTATTTTTGTATCTATTAATTGATTCATTCAATCTACTACAGGATCCTTTTGAGGTCCCCAAGCCCTTAGCAGCATTCAAGTCTTTTGAAAATCCTCGCCGTGATTTGATTAAGGCTCCTGTTCGAAGTAGAAGCATGATGTCTTTATTTTTCGCCAAATCAAAAGCCTCAAAACCGAGGAGGACTTACGCACACTGATTGGCTTCTGATCGAAATGAGAAGTCCTTGACCTGGAACGCTTGGATTCAAGTTCTCCAATCTTGCCTTCGGACTCGCAACTTAGTAAAGAACCTCTGTATATGTGACTTTTGCTAGTTTTTCCGGGGGTGACGAGAAGTGATTTATGCCGAAAATCCAATCCATAGATAGAAATATTTGTTTATATGTTCAATTTTATACGTTTTGAGAGATTTCTTATTGATGTTAGTCTTGATTCTTGGTTTCATTAGTTGTGAATTCTATTGGGTATTCTTAAGCGTGTGATGAATGTTTCCGTACTATGTTGATGGACTGGATCAGATGGTATTATGAGGAATAAAAATATGATGTTGACTGTTTATTTGTTGCTGTTAGCTTGAGTGGTGATGGTTAACAGCGTGCAGAGTTTAAGGGATTTGCACTCCAAACAGATGCAACACAACAATGAAAAATGTGAAGGGTTGATTTTGCGGTTACCGTAAGAATTTTTTTTCTTTTAAGCTTATTCTTCATGATTGTAGAGAAAATTAAATTGAAAGAAAATTGTTTATCGATCACTTTTACCCCGTATTTAGTTAGAAAATAAAGGCTAAATTGCACTCAAAGATCCTATAGTTTATGAAAAGAACACTTAAATACCCTAAGTTTCAAAAGGAGAAAAAAAAAACCCCCAAGTTGCTAGCCGTGTGAATTTGGCTAACGATGTTATATTTTGATCAAAAGGACAAAATTGCACTATTTGGTAATTAGATTTGTAAAGGGCAGAGGCTTGGTAGAATTGTAATTAATATAACAACTAAGGATAGTTGGGAATTAGATTTGTCACATGAGACACCATGGGGGGATATTCTCACAAGTTGACAGAAAATAGCAAATTACACTTTTTTTTACAAGTTTGGTATCTTTTTGCTCCTATTTGAAACTTGAGGTATATAAATGCTTTTTTGGAAAACAGTTGAGTTTTTTTTTTTTTTGGAAAAGTGGGAACAATAGGGCATTAAAGTGCGAGTGGTGTTAGGGCACACCATCCACCACAACTCCAACCCCACTCTCTCCTCTTAGTGCTACAGTAAATCGGGTCCCACGTAGAAACTTATTTACAAAAAGTAACATATTTTAAAAATATTTATCAAATTCGATCTAAATTAGCTAAAACTGGGTCCCGTGAAGTTTCAGCTGAAAATTGAAATTTCCACGGAGGCAGCGTCGAAGGGGGCGAAGGAGGTTGTGGCGGAGGAAGGGGGTGATGGTGACGGCCGGGGGCGGTGTGGGCTGCGGAGACCAATGGCGCCTTGGGCGGCGACGCTCGACGAGCGTGGAGACGGGAGCGATGTCGCGGCGGGGCGTCACAGCAGCAGCACTCGAAGGCGGCGGCGGCCCAACTTCCGGGCGGCCTTGGCTTCTGCGCGCCGTGTATGGGGGCGGCCACGTGGTGCTGTGCGTGTGCGTACGACTATGTGCGGCGATGATTCTGCGAAGTCTGTGCGTGCGTGTGTAGGGACCGGAGGAGTGAAAGAGAAAAGAACGACGATTTTTTACCCGGAAGGCGGATAGGGAAAGATCTGCAGAAGTATGAGGGGCGAGAGGCAGAGAGAGACGAGAGAGAGCAGCAGGCCGTCCACCTCCTTTTTTTCACTTGGATAAATTTAACCTCTCTTGTGATAAATTATTTGAGTGGATCCCTGTTTGGTTGTTGTTGGTAAAGTTGTAAATTTATGACACAACTTGAAAAGTTGTTGTCCACCTCATCAATTTTACTTTTATACTTTTCTTTGTTTGTTTTTTATTCTATTAGAATCATAAATTGCTTGTTTGATTTGCAAATGTAACTTTAATTGTTTGTTTGGAAAATATAAAAAATAATCCTTACTCAAATGATCATATTGGTTGGAATTATTTTTTATTATTTTTTCCTGACTTTAATGTCAGTTTTCTCCTAAAATCATGTCTTTTTTTAATGAAATCACTTTACAAACCACGTCAGCATATGAAATCACTTTACACTATTTTCACAACTACAAACAAACAATTGAAAGTGGTGAAAGCTGACATTAGGACCCACATTTTTACACTTTCCATCATTTTACATTGTAAAAACATACAACCAAACAGCTCCTTAAGTCCCATGAAGTTGCGACACTCCTAATCAAATTGGTTAAGTGGAGCTTAAACTTCACTTGACTTTAAGTCAATGTTTTTTTCTTCTAAAAGGTTAAAACTGGATCGAATTTAATAAATATTTTTGAAATAAGTCATTTTTTTACAAATAAGTTTTTAAAGAAATCTAAATTAAAAATTTGTCCAACTTAAAATCTTTAAAAAATGAACGAGAAAATTTGCCTCGCTCCAGCATATATAGTGAATCTGTTTTCATTTCCTGCACACTCAAGTATATCCAACAATGTTTCAGCAAATCATACTGCAATGACCGCTAATACCACTGGCATTCATACGGAGAAATATTACTACACGACTAAAAACAATCAACTCAAGTTGGATCATCAAAATGTGATCCATTTTTAAAAAAGAAGCAATCACACTTTTACTTTCTCTCTTTTTTCTTTCTCTCACTTTTTTTTTTGGGGGGTGGGGGGGGGGGGG